TCACATCATGTATTGTTTCCAAGATGTAAAATAGGCTTCCTACCATTTGCTTGAAGGTGATGACATATGCAGGTTTACCATCTTCATCTTTCACCAATTTTGCAGCTTGGAGCAATGGGACATCACAATTTATTGCATTTTTCCATGCCATATCTTGATAGGGTTTCTGCTGCATACTTTTGTTGATGTATAAAGATGTCCTCAGTTATTGCAAACTTTCCTTTCAATGACTACTTGAACTTACCCATTATCCGAAGATCGTAGCATGAGTAGATAAAATCATCTACATACAAGCTGATAATGAGTATCTTCCTTTCAAGAACATGCTTGACAAATAGAGTGTTCTCATATGAACATTTTAAAAAATTGTCAATGCCGAAGTATTAGTCTATCTTGCTATATCAGGCCCTTAGAGTTTGCTTTAGGCCATAAATGCTTTGGAACATTTCTACATTACAACATACTTTTGACCATATTCATGAGGGACGTTTATTACTTTTAGATACTCCATTTTTGTGTGGATTATATGAAACAATTGATTGTCTCTTGATTCCTTATATGTTGCAGAACTCATTTGAAGCATTTGACGTGAATTCTCCACCCCTATCAGTTATGAGACACTGAATCAAGTAGTTGGGTTCCTTTTCAACTAATTCCTTGAACCTTTTGAAAATATCAAAGGCACATAACTTTTTTTCTTTAGAAAATAAACCCAAGTATTTCTACTGAAATCATCTATGAAGGTGATGAAGTACTTATTTCCTCCAAGTGACTCCGACTTGATAGGTCCACAAATATCATAGTGAACATGCTCCATCTTTGCACCAACTCTCCAAGTAGCCTATTTAGGGATATGATATATGTGTTTCTTTCCAGTCAAGCAATCAGTGCATCTTTCTTCAGTGTTCATTAGTTTTGGTAAGCCTTTCACCATTTCCTTCTTCACAAGTAAATCTAGTCCCTTGATGCTCAAATGTGCATATCTAATATACTATAACCGAGATTCCATTTATTTGGTTGTTTGAAAACACATTGTCATAATGACTAGATCATGGATGACATACATCTTGTTTTGAGACATTTGTGTATTCAAGATTATACCATTCTTTTCATCAAAGATTTGACAGAAGTCATGATTGAATACTACACGTTATTTCTTCTGTAGAAGTTAACCAATGCTTAGAATATTGTTCTTCAAACCTAGTATGTAGTTAACATCAACTATCACATATGCCTTATTTTCAATGCCCGACTTCACGTTCCCTTTTCCCATGACCTTCATTGTTGAGTTAACACATAGCTTAACAGATTCTGTGAAATTTTCATCAAAATCAAAGAACCAAGCTTTAACCCCAATAATTGGTTACTACATCCTGAATCAAGATACCATATTTCTTCCTTAGCCAATCCTTTTAATTCACTTTTGGCCATTAATATCATATTTTCTTCTTCATTGAATTCAACATAGTTCACATTTTCTTCCCATCTAGGACACTTACTTTGATAGTTATCTAACTTGTGACCTTTGTAGCATTCCACAAATTCTTTACTCTGCCTACCCCTGCCACGTCCTCGACTCAATAATCTTCCTCGACCTCTTTCATCTCCTCTTCCTGTATTAGAAACTTTCAGTGTTTGTTCTTCTTCCATGAAATCTCTGTGACCTTTCATTCTTTGCTCATGCACAAGCAAGATGCTTTACAATTCATCAATGGAAAGAGTAGTCACATCATTGGACCCTTTGATGAAACACATGACATGGTTGAAACTTGCTGACATAGATCTCAAGATCTTCTCCACAACAACTTGCTCCAGTTTTTCTCCATGTGAAGTCATCCAATTGGAAATAGCAAGTGTTCTTGCAAAGTACTCATCAACATTTTCACTCTCACCCATTGTAAGAACCTTAAATTCTCTTTGTAATGACTTTAAATATGTTGTTTTAACCTTAGAAGAACCATGATATTTGCAATGCATTGTATCTCAAATATCTTTGGATGTGTCACACACGAGGACATTCTCTAAAATTGACCTACCAATGGATTAGAACGAATACTTCTTGGCCTTCAAGTCTTTCAATTTGCTATCCTCCATGGCCTTCAAGTGCTTTTGAGTCGTATTTGAAGGTGCTACCATGATACCCGTTTCGATCATTCCCCAATACTCTTTTGATCGCAGTAAATTCTCCATTAACATGGACCAATGATCATAGAAATAATCAAACCTTGGAATTTCAGGCTGAAGGATTTTTTCTTGTGAGGGTTAGTCATGGAGAAAGGTGAGAAAGCAAACAAGATTTAATAATGAAGGTGTAAGAAAGAGGGTATTACGCAAGAGGAGAGAAAGATCGCAATGTTTAAACTAACTGTAGCTTTTCTGTTTAAACAAAAGAGATGATTTGAATGCCTCCTACCAACCATCATGTGGGGAGGTCTTTCGATGCAAGCGAGGAGGTCCTTCACTCAAACCAATGGCTCATGATACCACTTGTTAGATCAAAAAGTCAATTCTCATTCAATTACCAAGTACCAACTAGTAATTATACTATGAAAACATTGACTGCGAAAGTTACTTGATGAATAAGTAACTAACTCCAGTTACTTGGTAACTAAGCAATCATAACAACTAACTGCTTGAGATTGCACAACATCCTCTTTCTATTGGTTATTCTATTTGGTTGTTTCTCTCTCCATTGATTCTTCCTCTTCTCAGTTGACTCTCTCTCTCTCTCTCTCTCTCTCTCTCTCTCTCTCTCTCTCTCTCTCTCTCTCTCTCTCTCTCTCTCTCTCTCTCTCTCTCTATATATATATATATATATATATATATATATATATATATATATATATATATATATATATATATATATATATATATATATATATATATATATATATATATATATATATATATATATATATATATATATATATATATATATATATATATATATATATATATATATATATATATATATATATATATATATATATATATATATATATATATATATATATATATATATATATATATATATATATATATATATATAATCCCAAAATTTCCCTTTTAACAAATATTATTTACACTTCAAAAGGAGTTCTTATGTAATTAACAAATGACAAAATTTTCTCAATTCCCTTGCATCTTAGAAGCCCATGTGGCAGCTTTACATTCTCACAATTGATACTAATTTTTTCCCCCAAATTCCCATTGCATCAGATAGCACATGTTAGAGAAATCCTTCAAATACATTTTGTCATTTTGAACAATCTCTGTCTCTCACGTTTTCACTCCAAGAACACATCTTTTCCAAGATGGTATTCTTCACTCTCAAGAACTCATTTTATCGTATTTCATTCACTTCCAAGGTTAGATCAACTCTCCTATGTTCTATGATCTAGCTTAAGTTGTTTTCATCATTGATTCACATTCAAAATCATGTATTTGTTATGTATTTAAGGTAGTTTTTTCCGCAAACTTTATAACCTTTGTTTTCGTCGTATGTTTCATCTTATGTTTCCTGCAAACTTCAAAAGTTTTCCCTGCAAGAATGTTTTGAATAAATGATTTGAATTTCTATATTCTAAACTTCATAACATTTCTTTTCTAAACTTCTAAACTTTAAGAATGGTTTTTATTCTTTTACATTGTGCAGTATTTCATATCATTTTTTATAGTTTCTTGATGTATAAAGTTTAGTTTCCATCTTATGGTTGGTGTGAACTTGGGATAAAAAACACTTGACAAAAATGTTTCACTTTGACACAATTGTTTTATGCTTGAAGAACTATTTTTCATTTCAGTTTCCAATTCATTCTTCTACGAAGTAGCAGTTTTTGGATAGCTTGATAGCTTTATATCATTGATATATTCCTGGAAAAAAGACTTTAAACAAGAAGGTTTTTTGGTGTCTACACTTTTGTTTTAAACTTATGGTTTGTGGACTAGGCATAAAAAAAAACTTGACCTTTGTGTTTCATCTTTGACAGATTGGTTTTATGTTTGACATAATTGTTTAATGTTGCATCTTGATAGAACTTTTTTTCATTTCAATTTGACTTATTCTTCTACATTGCCTTATTTTTTGATAGCATGATAGCTTTATATCATTGATATATTCCTGGAAAAAATACTGTAAATAAGAAGTTTTATTGGTGTTTAAAATTTTGTTTTCAACTTATGGTTTTGTGTTTGAAGAAATCTATGACACAACTGTTTAATGTTGCATCTTTGCTTCTCAATCTTTTTCATTGTGCAGTTTTTTCCTCAACAATGTTAAGGCCTCCTATTATGATCAACGATTTGGTCAAAGGAAATCAAGTGTGGAAGATGCACATTCACATTGTTGATCTTTGGGTTGTTAAGAAGAAAAGTGGACAACAACATATTGAGTTGGTCATACAAGATGAAAAGTTATGACTTGCCCACTCATTTTCTATGTTTATGTCTTCATTGCTTCTAACTAAACAATTATTAAACAGGGAGATCAAATTCATGTCATGACGAGGAACCACGATTTTAAGGACTAGCTTAAGCAACTTAAGGAACATCAAACTTATACACTATATAATGAAGAATCAGTTGTTAATGATGGCCCTTTCAAAGTGTCTCCCAATAGCCTTAAACTTGTCTTCAATGGAGTGACAACAATTTCTGAGATTGCAAAACCTAAGATACCTCCACATCATTACAAGTTTAAGGCTATTGAAGATTTCCTCAATGTCCATATCCAAATTGACATGTTATATGGTGATATTTTCTTTGTGAATACTGATTTTATCATTGTCATTGTAACGATAGTTAATCTTTGTAACTAACACGAGTTGTTTTCTATTTTATGATCCTTCAGATGTTATTGGGATTTTACAGATGTGGTGAAAACTCAAATGGGTGGTGGTGGAAAGAAATCCTGCGCCAGTATCACACTGTGTGACGAACATGGTAATGTCATTAAGGTTGCATTATGGGATGATTATGGCAAACAATTTATGAACAATAATATGTCTAACAAGACTGATGGTCCAACAATCATTGTGTTGACACATGCTTGGTATAAGAAAAATGCAGGTTAGTATTAGCACTCTAACTACATGCCACTGTGTCAACATTGTGGTTTTTCAATGATTCATACTTATGATGCACTATACCTACATTTCTATATTGATTAATCAGTTTATGGACTGCTATCCTTTCTAGTGCTTGGAATGGCTCTAGACTTCTTATTAACCTTGATCATCCCCAAGTTGAATCCTTTAAATCCAGGTAGTCAATACTGCCTTATGTTTATTCTAATATCCAATGGAAACTTCATATGCATTTCATTTCTGCCATGTTAACCATTAGAACTATTATATGTAAATGACTTGTAGTTTATGATCAACTTAATTATCAGTAGCTTTGTCACATTCTCTTATCCAACCATGTGATTCATCTATTCAAACCACCAACAAAGGCTGGACTAGCTCGAATGAGGTCGAGAGTATTTATCATATCAATGCATTGGGAAAGGATTGTTTCGCCACCACAATTGGCACTACAAAGAGATTCAAAGCCTCCAAGCATGAATGGTATTTTGAGTCTTGCCTGTCTTGTAAGACCTCTAACAAGTCTCCCAGAGAGAATTTTGTGTGCATTTGTAGAGTGAAGGATGTGGAACCTATCACTAAGTAAGCAATCAATAGTATTTGCTACTACGCCATCTTACTTTTTCACATAGCAAGTTTCACATTTCCATTTATTCTCTTCATGTTTTAGGTTCAAAATAGAATTTGATGTTGAGTATGAAAACCATGTTGGTTACTTTGTGTTTTGGGATAAGGGTTGTATCCCTTTCGTTGAAATGACAACTACACAATTAAGAGAACTCATGAAGGAGGTATGCCCTGCACACACTATAGTGCATTCTATTTCATGTTTTCCATCAAATTCCTCTATTAACCATTGAAACTTTGCTTATGGCCTAGGCTGGTGACGACAACCCTAAAATATATCCGGCACAGCTCGATAAACTGTTGAACAAAGACCTAGCTTTTCGTATCAAGTATCAGTCTTTTTTCCAACAATTCTCCATTGTGACCATAATAAAGGATGATGATGTTTACAAGAACTTGGACAAATTGATTAACCCTAATGAGGTTCACACCTCTTCTATTTCGAATGTCTATTTTTTATGAATTCATAATCATTTTGAATTTAAATTTCATCATTTTTTTCAGCATACATCTAATGCTTCTGTTTTCAACTTTGACACTTCCAATCCAAAGGAAGTTCAAGACTATCCCATTGTATGTCATCTTTTAAACTTTAACTACTAAGTTTTGGTTTGCATCATCATTCCAATGTTGTTTTCTATTTTTATATGCAGATGACACCCTCAGCTGAACATACTAAATCTGCTCAACCATCCACCTCTGTGAACCATACTTGGAGTCCATCTGCCAGCTCGAGTAATACCCCGACTAAAATGGTTTCTATTTCAACATCTCTTGATGAGCTTTTCCAAAATGAAGACCTAACCCATAAGCAACCCGCAACAAAAGCCAAACACTTGAAGAAGGAGTGATGTACTGGTCATACCATTGGAAGCCTCATATTTTGTAAATTCGTTTTGTTTGTTGACACCACTTGTGTAAGGAATGATACCAAACACTAAACCTTAATATTGTTTTAGCGTGTCGCAATACAGCTATCTTTTTCTATATAACTTGAACTCATTATCTCATGGATTAATATTTTTGTAATGAGGCTTCCATATTTAATGTGTTATTTCCTACATGTTGTTTTCTATTATTTTTGGAAGCAACATTTTATAATTCTTTCATTGCTGTTTGAAATAACCTCTATACATATTGTATGCTTCCTAATTCTGTTGCTTTAACTTCTATAACAAATCTTTCATTTTCCGATGGTTCCAATTTTTAATCTAATCGTTATACCTAAATGAGTTTTATACTTTGAATGCTTTTGAGTTTGAATGCTTTTGTCCCTGTTTTCATAGTTTGAATGCTTCTACCTAATAGTTCTTTCACTGTTTTGATAGTTTGAATGCTTCTAAATATGAGTTTTATCAATCAATGATATAAGTTCTTTAAGACTTTTATCAGTCAATGTTTGAATTATACATGTGATGTTAGGATTAAAACCTATTAAGTGATAATGGCCAGGGTGCAGCTTAGACAATTATGTGATGTTAGGATAAAAACTGCTATGTTATGCTAAGCTACTTTGAAATGTAATAAGGGCAGTTGAAATAATTAGTTACTACTGTTATGTTATAGCAAGCTCAAAATGTGAATGAGGTCTTGAATTAAAGCCCTTTCAGTGCTAACGATGACCAAGAATTGGAAGATTGGAAAAGCTGTTAGTTGGAAGTAGTTAAATTATTAGTTATAGCTGTGAAATTTTTAAAGGAAATGGATGTTAAAATTAATTAGTTATTAGTGAAGTTTGTACTAAATTTGGAAATGAGCTAAACTGCAGTGCTAGCAAAATAAAAGGTTAGGACCTTGATTGAATTCTGAGCCGTGTTTGACTATGTTAGAAGGATATGGATGTTGAAATTGCACTGCTATGTACATTGAATTGTTGTGAAACATGATTGAAGTTTAAGTTGGTATAAACTAGATATTTTTACTAAAGTCTAAATGTTAGTTTATTAATGCCTTGGTACTGTTAGTTGGATAGCAGTTCTTTAAGACTTTTAATTGATCAGTTTTTGTTTCAAACCAATTAACTTATACATGTGTACTATCAATAGCAGTTTTGGTTTCAACTTTAACTCACACATTGTTAGATTAAAAGCTCTTTCATGTATAGCATATCAGTTTTGTTGCCTTATCAACTACACACAATTCTACACAAAATTGACCATGTATTGACTCTTATGAAGTCGCATCTGTAAATATTTTTATATCACATAACGAATATACAAAATCATAAGCAATATTCGTGAACACAATCCAGCAGGTTTTAGACTATGTTTCATGTAAAACATCAGCAGTGTGTAGGTGATCGAAATCAACATTTCAAATTTTTAACTTGACTACTTACCTCTTTCAACTAACTTCTAGTTGCTTTGTATATGTTGGAATTCCATATTTTAGGGAATAAGACAGGGTGTTGTCATTTCTCCATTTAATGCAACCTGCTCTCCTCTCCTAAAAGCTATGAACCAGACACATTCTCCAATGTAAGCAAAGCTGAAATTTGCAAAAGGTACATCATTGACTGTTTTAATGTCAGGTCATCTCAAATAAGCTATAATTTTCTTTTGTAGAGGGTATTATAAAATTCTTTATCCATGAGGCCTATCACTTCCTATATTAATGTAAATTTTTTATATATGCCACTATCCTATCCTGTGTACAAAATAATCGTGTAAATATGCATCCTTTGTAGCTGGCACAATCGTGTAAATACCTTGGAAATCTTTTATCTTGCATGTACCATTGTACCTTATCAAATAAAAAAATATTTTCTTCTATTAATTTCCAACCAAACATGAATTTTCATGATTAGATTACCGCATGGTTTTGACAACTAGATTTCCAACTAAACATGATTTCTAACTAGATTTCCAACTAAACATGGTTTTTCAAATTACAAACTTTAGGTACCTTTTTGTAATTATAACAAACTTTAAGAAATTGCACTGCACTCCTTCAACTTTCCTAAAACTCAATCAAATTTAATGACATACATTTCTTCCCATTCATGCTATGCAGACACTGAAAGGAAGTGTTGTTATTCAATGGTATGGCAGTAAACACTTTAACAAATGGATTGGGGAGCAATACCAGTTCAGCTTAGTAGGTTAATTCAGCTTAGTAGGTTAATCTCTTGGCAGTCAACACATTCATAAGGTTGTATTATCATAAAGGTTATTTTTTGTGATGGTTTTGTTGAACAGTAAACTGCCATTACATGTCTTTCATTGAAACTGCTCATGTTTTACCCTGATCTTAATCTATACAATGTTGTGAAAACCTGTCAAATAAATATTATCTAAGTTTAGGAACATATTTCATGGTATGATATAAGTTTAGTTTTATACCATTTATAATTGTATCTAAAAAAGTATGTGCTTGATAAACATGTAAAATTATGTACCTTCTGTGAACTCCCTGCATACATGTTTTACATTTTCAGAATTCTAGAATGGCCATGAAAATTTACCTTTTATTGATGGAAAAGTCTGCATTATAATTGCCATATATAAACATGAAAGTTTGAATTAATGGTATGAAATGAAATGATACTTCATAGTAGAGGCCTGCAACAATAAAAACCTTACATTTATAGCACCTCATATCATTTTACAGTTCATTAATGTCTTACCTACTTCCAACAATAACATTGATTGTGCTGCTGTAATTTTAAATTAGATGATGTTCTTTTTGGTGTTGGTTTGTTATTAATGAGAATGAGGTACAAACTGTATCTATTCTATAATTCTTATTGTTTTTGAATTATAACTATGTTAAATGAATATAGAAGATAACACTAACCGAAGAACATTAACATTGGCCATATTTGATGCAATTTTCTTCTTTTGGTCATTACAGTTTGAAAAACTAATTCCTTCCATAGCATATAGAGCAAGAGACCTAATTGAACATTATTTTCATTAGTGCCTTATGAAATTTGTTGTGATTTGAACTTTAATCATAAATAATTTTTATCAAAAACTAATGGCTCATATATCAGGTTTAAACACCCGTCAAAGTTTTTGATCCTCAAATATGGACATTACGAACAATTAATTTACAGCTAAGAAAGCAAGAGCACGTAGATCTTTGATAATAAAACAGACGCGATCAAAGCGTCAAAAACTTGCTACTCAAGAACAAGTAACATCTAATGCCCAAATTCCTACACAAAATTCTGGAACAATGAACTCCTTTGTCCGAACTTACCCCATCACATCTAACCAAAAAAATGTTGAGCAAGTTATTGAAGAAGGAAGGTTTCAATGTTCTAAACCAAGCCAGACCAGACATGGATTTAGAGCTACGAAACATGCCTACAACATTCACAGCTTGGGCAAAAATCTGTTTGCCAACTTTTCTAATGCCTTACACGTGACTTTGATGAAAATACACAACCTCCTGCCCTAAAATCACTTAACAAATTTGGATACCAACATACCAGCCCTGTAGAAAATGTTGCAAGTTCTTCTCATAAAAAAATGTAAGACTGTTGTCATACCTTTTTTTATATGTGATATGTTATTATTCTTGTCCTACACTTTAAGAAACTACCTAATTTCTACTCTAATATTTCCATGCAGCATTAAGAATACAAGAAAATCAACATTTCCTACACCTTCCATCAGCCAAAACCATACTGTTAGTTCTTCACAAACTACACAGCTGGAAGACAATTTGTGTATCCCAATGTTAGTTTCCATTCGAAGTCATATTTCTTATTCAAACAAATACTTTGTTACAGTTCATGGTTAGCCTATAAAATTTATGTTATGATAGGGTTGTAGGCATCGTTAAAGCTGCTCGAGGAAGGCCTCGGAAAAAATTTGTCATTCCAAGTTACAGTAGTAATGTGTCAACCATCGCCCCGTCACAACGACTTCATGAAGACATGTCTACCAATTCTATGTCAGATGATATGAGATACTAGCCAATGTTTGTTTCTCACTCAATCATATTATAGTTTCATTACACCTACCATACTTACTGTAACATATTTGTAGTTCACCGAGTTTCCGGTAAATTCATGTGCCATGCAACATCCTATAAGTTGAATGCATATTTGAGTTTCAGGTTTCCAACAATTGGTAAACGTCTGCGTGGCAGACCTCGAAACTCAATGGAAATACCAAATCTTGCTAGGAATTTGACAAGGACAAAACCAAGTTTTACGGAATTCTCCATCACCACCTAGGTAAGTTGTTACGTGTTTTGTATGACAGATTTCTAAATCAAGTTTATGGACGTAACTTAATAACACCGACAAATCTATGCACATGACTTGATGAAAGTTTCTTGAGTATACTTGAGTGAGGTGTGCATGATGAGTGTTTCATTATATATTTTTGTACCAGTGGTTGATTTAAAATATACATGGTCTATATATATGCAGGAACTTACCCGTGCATATACATCCTCAAAAGTATACCTGCAGGAAGTGTTGGGTATGTATACAAATTTTTAATGAGCACAACATATCACATGGTTGAAAATTGTATGAATGCTTTATGTTGTTTTCTCATTAGATATCACATGTTTGATTTAATATATATGAATTCTTTATATTGTTTTCTTGCATTGGTTTTGTAAGTACTTCAAGAATACCAAACATAAGAGTTCATTGATTAATAAAATACTCTCACTGTTGTGTAGGAGTACATCGAATCCTACTTTCCTTCAAAAAGACACGGATGTTCAAAGTTTTAGACAAGTGTTGTCGGTGGAATAGGATGTGCCGCATCCTAGAACTGATGGTGGTCATGCTGTACAAACTCATCCTTCAATTTTTCATCCAACAGTCAATTTAGATTTTAACAGTGACAATGATGATGAATCCGACTATGACTCTTTTGCAAGT